GTTGGCAACCAGCCAGGAGGGACACGGGTTCCAGTACACAAGTGGAGGCACTCACAGCTCTTATGGCCTTGTCCACATCCCCAGAGGCAACATCCTGAAACTCAACCCAGAGATGGTCTGCCAATTTATCCCCTTGTGCCTTGGCTGGATCTGCAAAGGTGGAGTCCAAATCCGACCGAAACCGAGCAACTTTGTCCGCTAAGAATTGGGCATAATCCTCAGCTCTACCCTGCAAGGGTTCCCCCGTATCCCTCCTATTTAGGAGGGAGCGGGTTATCCTAAACAGGGCGGCTGGGCGGGACTCAGCGGACGCAACCAAGGTGGCAATGTGAGATCGTTTTGCTGCCCTAAGTGCCCTGATGTACTCCTTGGTGCTGGTTGTTAGGATTGCTCGGTTCGACTCGGATTTATCGGACCTCCATAGGTGCTCTAGGCGTCTCCTCCGGCGCTTCATATGTCTTGTAAAATAACCATTTATCAAAAGATCAACTGGGAAGATTGCTGCTCCACACACACCCCTTTTCCCTTTATTAGCTCAAGTGTATTTTTAATTGTTCTAAGAAAGCCCTGAAGGCACATGTTAAGTCACAGCTACTCTTTAAACATAAAGATGTTTTGGTGGCATGGTGCTTTGCTTTATGGCATGCCAACGCATCATTTTGATTTAAGCAATTTTAAAAACGGAAAGCATTGTTAAAGTAAGCACAAAGGCTGAAGTATCAAAAATGTGTCCATGGAGTATTTGACAAATTCCTTGCTACATTTGTGCAATTTCCATATAACATATCCTAATTCAATTCTGATTGTCGATCCTCTGGTGATTTCTAATTTCCCCTCCTTTTTAAACTATTTTTCTCCCCCTACCCTATTCCCTTCTGCAAAATGATTGGCAGTGGATTATGGATTCTGCATCCAGAATACGGGCAGAGAATTATCCAGACAGCAGTTGTTTGGTGATTGATTCAGCTGAAAAAGATGACTCGGGTTCTTACAGAATAATGCTGAAAAATGAAGCTGGAGAAGACGCCGCACACATCAATATAAAAGTTGTTGGTAAGTCAATGCTTTTATACTAAAGTAGCACCAATGCTCTTCCTATTTCAGCCTTTTCCAAACTGATGCCCTCCATAAGGGTTGTGTCTGCAAACTATCTAACAAAATGAAATTCAATGTAGAGAAAAGTAAAGTCTTACACTTAGGCAAGAAAAACCAAAAGTACACATACAGATCGGGTGAAACCAGAACAGCAGTAACTGTGAGAGGGATCGTGGAGTCTTAGTGGACAACCGGTTAAATATGAATCAGCAGTGTGCGGTGGTAGCCAAAAAAGCCAATGCAATCCTAAATTGCATTAACAGAGGGATACAATCAAGATCAAGTGAGGTACTAATACCACTCTATAAAGCCCTAGTAAGATCACACCTAGAATACTGCATTCCAATTTTGGTCACCACACTATAAAAACATTGAGACTCTAGAAAAAGTGCAGAGAAGAGCAACCAGGATGATTAGGATACTGCAGACTAAAACCAGTGGTGGGATTCAAATAATTTAGCAACCGGTTCTCAGCCCTAATGACCAGCTGTGTGGGTGTGACTCGGTGGTCATGTTACTGGGTGGGCATGGCCAACTCAACATCACTCACTTTGTGGGCGCTTTGCCTTAGCTGTTACAGTGCAATGAGGGCTTCTGTAAACAGGGCAATAAAGATTAGGCTAAAACATATGAAGCACAGATACAGGAACTGGGTATGGCTATTCTTTTGTAAAGAAAGAACAGGGGACTCATGTTAAAAGTGAT